AGAAGGCACCAAGCCTTCTTTGAGATAGAAATGAAAGAAAATAAATGAGCATATAAAAAGACAGCCCTGACAAAAGAAGCCACACTAAACTAAAAAGAGRCATCTTTTTACAAGATACGAACTTTTCATTGATGGATGAGAAAAAAAATTGTTCAAAGATAAAAACTCACAAAAGAGTGAAGAAAACAAACGAAACAAAGAAAAACAAAAACAAAGCTAAAGCCAAAGAAAATAACAATTAAGAGGGGAAAATGAAAGCTCTCCAGTTGGCGTTGATGAGAGACAGAGTAGTTTCCAAACAGATTTGAAAGAGAACACCATTGAGAAGCTTGAAATTTGGCAATACTAAAAGCCTTCTGCCCTAAAAAAATCCTAAGATTCCGTTCAAACCAAAGTTCATACAGAATAGCTGTAGAGGCATTAATCCACAGAAGACCAGCCTTGGTAGTAAATACTGGACCGCATAACAGCTGAAACAACATATCCTTGACATCCGACCCAACTCAAGTTAAACACCTGGACAGCAAAAGGACAAGGGGAAAATAAGTGAAGCATACTTTCTACACTAGCAGCACATTCATAACAGACAGATGAAAGGTGAGGCAAGACGATGGGAGCTTTCTTTAAAGAACATGGGCTGTATTAACTTTTCCTTGGAACAAAATCCAAGAAAGAACATTGATCTTCCTTGGACTCTTAGTCTTCCATAGAGCTGCCACTAAATCCTTATGCATACGAGAAGGGGAACGCGGACTGCAGAACGAAACTGAAAAAACCCAAAGCCTCTAAAAGCCATATTCGTTTATCATCCTTGATAGAAGGAACAAATGGAGATAGAGCTAGCAAAAGTCCTGAAAACTCCATAATTTTTTCATCTTTCAAAGATYGACGGGTGACAATTTTCCAAGAAGTTGTAGGATCCCAAAAATCTAAAACCAGCCCAAGAGAAGGAGCAGGAGAAAGCTGAAAATTTTTGGGGAAACCAACCTTGAAAGGAGAATCGCCCACCCAATTATGATGCCAAAAAGAAATCTTCTTGCCAGAGCCAAGTTTATAAGTTGGATAAATCTCCCCCCACCTCCAATGCTGGGAAATATTGACCCAAGGACAACGAAGACAAGCATTCGGTTTTTCTACAGTAAACCAACCAAAATTTTCAGAGCCATAGACACTATCCACAACTTGCCGCCATAAGGACAGGGGTACAAGTCATAACGCCACCCCCATTTAGCCAATAGAGCTCTGTTCTTTGCAATGCCACCAATCCCCAAACCTCCATCTTCTATGGACAGAGAGGAAATATTCCAATGGACAAGGGGTTAAAGCACTAGAGAAATGATTATCTTAAGATTCTGTTCAAATATTCCCATGGAAATATTCCATTTAGCCAATAGAGCCTTGTCCATTGGAATCCAACAAGGGACACCACCTCCTCCTAAGGTCTCTCTACCCCTCTAAAGATTCTATTGTTTCTCTCCATGAAATGGAACAAGGTTTAAAAGTTTTGAAGGAACACTTACAATAATTATCCAAAAAGTGGCTTTAAAGTAATTGACACCCTCGTAGTTTAAGCACTAGAGAAATGATTATCTCAAGAAAAAGTGCTTAGGGTATGCCAAACTAATCCATAAACATGTTTGCATCCAATGATAGTAGACTAGGAACATTTTTTTTTCTTTCTCAAGATAATAGATAATATATTTAACACCAGATAAACAACAATATTAGACAACTGAAAAAATATTGTACTTYCAATTTCACATTGACATGTGCTCTAATAAAACGTGCCTGCATGAAGCGGAAAACAAATAACTCAAGTAAAGTGTGTTCCAACAACTTTCTCCCAACATAATTACAAGTTTCCTGGTCTAACAATGCCACTTTATCAATAGGAATTCCTGTAACAAAGGAAAAAATCGACCCAAAGTTTAGAGTACAAATTTATACAGATGAGAGAACTGAACTAAAACTTACTGTGAMTGGAAATTATCCAAAAGGAAAAAGGTGGCCAATCAACTAAATATAACCATGAAAAACGGGAAATTCCTTGAAAACTGGACAAAAATCTGACCAGAAAATATAAACAGCACCAGAATCTTCACTCGACTAATTTAGTTACTACCTACCACATGGAGAAATAACAAGGCACGACTCACTAAAGTCGTATAGAAATTTCAAAATAAAAATGATAGATTATTCTTCTCACTGTTAATTCACTCAATTAGAGGAAATATGTTTGGGGAATTGTTCTAAGCATATCTTGCTAAAACGTTGGGATGGTAAATAGATGAAAAGAACACAACGTATAGTGAAGGGTAAAAATACAAAACAAAGCTTTTGTTAAGGATAACAATATCCTCGTACCCTAAGTATCACCATAATGATATGATATTGTCGCTTTAGGTATAACCCTCACAATTTTACTTTTTATTTTATCCAAAAGACCTTGTACCAATGAAGATGATAATTGTTCTCGCTTATATACCATCGATCACCCCCTTCCCTTGTTAATGCGGGACTTTGTTTGCACCTTTTACAAACCCAACAATCCTCCCCTCAAACAAAGTACCATCGAGTCTACTCTCAAGTAGTCATCCATCCATCCACTTTCGGATCGGAACGAGAGCTTTGTTCTTATCCAAAGCTCCAAGCACACCCGGATAAAGTACAATCACGAATCACACCATGACTACGTTTTTTGAGGCTCACCACTTCTTTATTCGGCACCCGAGGATTTCACCGGCACAGCTAGGTTTAAACCATGACTCTGATGCTACTTGTTAAGTACAACGATACCCTCGTACCCCAAATATCTCCATARTGGTATGATACTGTCTGCTTTAGGCATAACCCTCACGACTTTGCTTTTCGTTTTACCCAAAAAGCCTCGTACCAATGGAGATGATAATTGCCCTAACTTATATACCATGAATCACTCCCTTCCCCTAGCCAACGTGAGACTTTGTTTRAACTCTCTTACAAACCCAACAAAAGCATAAAAAGGAAGAGTCCTTCAACCTGAATTTGTTCAACTTTGACAATGTAAAGGAAAATAACCATTTTTGTTACATGATGAGAGTCAAATATGAAAGTATGCTTCACATTATTTCGTTAAATCATTTATATGGGCATTTATTGAAAGGATAACTTCAAATCTAGCATAATTAAGATAAATCTTATAGAAATAGTAGCGGTCTCTTTTCCATTTATTCAACATGTCATGGGTGTTCGATTTTGATGTTTCAAAGATTGTAAATCAGAGGCTTTTTGAAGGAAAATGTAGAGTTTCGTTGGAATGCTTCAACTCGGCTAAATTCAAAGCTTCTCAATGGTGTGCTCTCTCCAATTTATTGGCAAATTATTCCTCTAGCATGATCTTCTCTAATTGGAAGGTTTTTTTTATTTCTCCTTTATAATCTTTTATATTTGCTTGTACTTCACGTGTAGCTTTCCTATTATCCTTCTTTGTATCGGCATATATTGAAAGGATGACTTCAAATCTAGCATAATTAAGATAAATCTAGCCTTTGAATGGCTTTCGGGATTGAAGATAAATTGGGAGAAATCATCTTTACGTGGATGAATATAGAATTCCAGAGATTACAGCAGTCAGCTTCAAGGTTTGGTTGCAAAGCTAAGAAGCTTCCGATTCTTTACTTAGGCATGCCTCTTGGGGGAAATTCTAAGCACGATAATTTTTGGAGTCCCATTCAAGAAAAGATTTGTAAAAAACTTGAGCGATAAAAGAAATATCAACTCTTAAGGGGAGGAAGGCTGACATTGTGCCAATCGGTCCTTGAGCATCTTCCACTATATTACTTTTCTCTTTTTCAGGTATCGGTGAGAGTAAGCAAACAACTGGAAAAGAGTATTTGCTCTTTCTTATGGGGTGATTCATCCACACGTTCGGTAAACCATTTAGTCCGTTGGGATTTAATCACCCTTCCACGTAAGATGGGCGGCCTTGGAATCAAAAATCTCCTTAAAAGGAACAGTGCGTTGCTAGCTAAATGGGGTTGGAGATTTARTGTTGAATCATCAGCTCTTTGGAGATATGTGGTGGCTAGTATATATGGTTCATATAGTGGTGGATCGTGTACTATACCAAAACAACAAAGTTCTGGCAGAAGCCCATGGCATAATATTTCAAAATCCTCGCGAAAGGTGGAGTCCTATTCCATCCATTTACTATAGAAGTTCCCAGGGAATTCATTAGAGGAATGTTTCCAATAAAAATTGTTTGTTCTTGCATATCCCTACGGGTTTTTCAAATTAATCCTGCGGATACGTATAATTCAGAAGAGTATGTGAGTGATTCATATACARCATCTCTTTCTTTTATCAATGGTTCTACCAATTTATATGTTTCCACAAATAATTGAAATTCAATTTCTTGATCTGTATCTTCAATTTTTGGAAACTTCAAAAGTTCTTCTGTTAAGCCATGATCAATGAACCTACAAAACTCTTCAAATTGTATCTGATTAAACCCAGGAATTGTAGACTAAAACATTCTCTCATTTCCACCCCCAAGCATTTTATTTATTTCCCATTTATAAAAAAAATCCCATTGTTTGCTTATTCATCATCAAATGGATCGATCTAGCAATGATGAAATTTATATTATGTTTACTGAATCACATGAAATTTTACCTAACTCCATAGGTGTAATAGATGTAATGCATGAAATACACAAAGTTGGTAATGATAGAAGGTGTCTGTTTTGGCACCACTTATGGGTCGGAGATATTCTGTTSAAGGATAGGTTTCCTTCCATATTCCGAATCTCTTCTGTTCCCTCTATTTTAGTTGGGGATGCATGGGATGATTTGGAGTCCTCTTGGAAACTGCCTACCAGGCGTGCTCTAAAGGATGGTGAAATTGTAGACATGACCAATTTGTTATTGTTACTTTCTTCGGTTATTATTCAGGATGTAGAAGATGTCAGATTATCGAGTTTAGAGACTTCGGGTGTCTTTACTGTTCGCTCACTAAGCAAGATTGGAAGTGCTGTTTCAAAATTTCCAAAGGAAGCATTTTCTATTCTTTGGTCTACTAAATGTCCAAAGAGTGTAAACTTTCTGATTTGGATTCTTCTTATGGGAAAAGTCAATACTTCAAAGATTCTTCAAAGGAAATTAACCTCCTCGATGATGCAGCCTTCGGTTTGCTTAATGTGTTCGGCTAGTGGAGAGTTCCAAAGACACATGTTTTTCTCCTGTCCTTTTGCTGATGGTTGCTGGAATTTATTCTTCTCCATGTTCAATGTTTCTTGGGTTTGGGATATGGAGGTTTCTCAAAACAGCTCCTTCATGGAACTCGTTTTCATGAAAAAGCCAATCTATTATGATTCACAGAATTAAAGCTCTCATATCCGAGTTATGGTTTGAAAGAAATCAGAGGATCTTTGAAGGAGAAGGATAGAGTCGCTCTTCACAGAATGTTTTGCAATTGCCAAGTTCAAAGCTTCASATTGGTGTGCTCTCTCTGATCATTTCTCTGATTACTCTCCTAGCATGCTTTGTATGAATTGGGAGGCATTTATAACTCCCTAATAGTGGCTCTGCATTAGATATCTTTCCTTATGCTTACGGTTTATTATTTTCACTCCTAATGGAGTTTGTATCATTGAACATTATTGTTCAATTTCATTAATCAATGAAAACTTCGT